CGATCGATAAGCGAAAGATATGACCTTTCTTGCGTTCGATAAGTGGACGCGCCGGATCGAGGCCTAGAAAGCAATTAAAAATGGCAGGAAAATTTTATAGGAAGCGACATAAATAAAAACAACACAGTCTTGTAAAAACAAATGTTCCGTTTACCGATTATCCGATGCTGCTTTATCGATAAATGATTTGACATCATGCCACAGATATGCGCACCCAGTGAATGACCAATGCAGGTGATTTTTTCGCGCACTGCTCCATGATGCGTAAGGAAGGAGTAAATCTGAAACAGGGAAACAGGTAAATATGAACATAAACTGACATAAATTTGTAATTATTTATTAACGGAATAGCAAAAGAGGGATTACTAGCATAAAGGCTAGGCTAGGCTAGGCAAAAAATTTAAAATTGTTTTGTTTTTTTTTTATTGCACTTGTTTTGGTTGCTTAATATAAATAAATAATTATAAAAACAAATAATGAAATTGCTTAGATAACTGAAGCACTACATAGTCTGTGAGAAGTCGACTAAAAAATGATTGCATATTTGTATCAGCTGCACTAAACCATACATGCAGGTAATCCTAAAAATTTTTAACAAACAAACTTAAATATTGTAAGTATGTATATAATAGCTATTAAATGCGTGTTTACAGCCAATTTGTTATGAGCATGGACGAATACTATACAATGCACAGAAAAATAAACAACAAAACAAAACAAATCTTACCGGTGCACAGTGGCCAATTTTCCGAAAAACCTGGCCGAAAGATTTACATATTGTTACGATTTTCTTTTGATCTTCGACGATTTACCAAATCCTACCGCTCAAAATACATTCGAAATAATTGTATTTTACATAACTTTACAATAATTTTAAGGCAATTGATATCTGTACTCATAGCTATCTATTTTACAACTGTATTTGTAGCTTGCTGATTCGCAAATGAACTTTCTGTGCGCTGCAGCAACACCTTTATATACCTGCGTTCGTACTCATGGCAACTCGAGAAGATTCTTATCGTAACTAATCGACATTCCATTTGGCGTTTTTCGACGTCAAAGCTCCTGCATCTTTCATGGTGCATTCGGTCATTCTCTGTTTGTTTGCTTTGGCCTGTCATTCGTGTTTTGCAGTATTCGTCACACTACCATCCACCTAAGTCCGATCGTCCCCATCAGCCACGCTTGCTGTTCCAAACGCTGTAAGCCTTTCCAAGTGGGCCATCTTCATCTTGCTTCTCGGCCTTCCAACGGAATGGATTCAAAACATCCGTCATTCAGCCGCTTGACAACCCCATGTGGACCTTTTCAGTTACACTGTGGTTTAAAGGTGCAGCCTTCCTTTCGCTGCCGCTTGTAAAGAAAACCACATCGTTTCCATGAAACTCTCTAGGTTCGATTTGAACCCTGCTGCCGGCTTATCTCTCACATGGCGCCCATGCCTCCTCCGCTAGCACATCTTGCTACCAGCTCTTTGACCGTCTAATGGAAGTCAACCCAATATAATCTTTTCTTAATCCTCTCTAGTCTTTTCTTCATTCCCAGGTTCTCTCCACCTCGAACCTCGTTGAGAAGGTCCGGAATTTTTGCATCGGTCATCTTCGCTTTCTCATATCCAATCGAAACCAACCAGATATAAACTTAAAATTATCCCATTGTATCCAGTACTTCTTTCTGATTGGGCTTTCCGCTAACACTTCCTCCTTGGTCGGAAGCTTTCGCAGCTCCAACGTTCGCATTACAACTGCTTAGTCTGAGTCATAACGCTGACACTTCCCTAGTCGTTCCACACCTCGCTCTTCCGTCGATGTCAAATTCATTGACGGGGCATGAATTGCATGGTCTACAGGCTTTACTGCTTGCCTTTGCTTCATTTACCGACCACAATCTTTTCCTGGCCACAACCTTTTCCTGGTCTCCACAGCCTACGCCATATCCGGCCTCTGACGTCGGAAACACTACCTGTTTAACATCTAACTGGCTTGCCCTTAACACTCCCTTGTGGTGACTTCTTCTTTTTCTCTGGGTTGGCGGAACAGGCACGCTTTTCCTGTACCGTTGAACAGCTTCCATCTCCTGTCGAAACAACTCCACCTCTTCCCCTAAGATTAACTGTCTGTAGTAGTACGGGTTATCGTAACCAACCCAGGAGAGGCACTTCCCTGTCGTAACGTTTAGTACATTCAAGGCTTTTAGTCGCGAAAATCGAATGAAAACTCTGCCAGAAAACTTCAAAATGCATCTTGTGGTGAGTTAAAAACTCGAAAGGAGAAAATAGTCAAAGAAGCAAAGTACAAAATTTGCATATGCTAGTAAAACTAATTATTGGGTTTTCTCTTTTTACTCGTATAATAAACATTTTTAAAATAAATGTATTTTTTTAATTATTTTTAAGTTTTTTAGTGCCTTATTTTGCCTTTCTTTCCATTTCTAGTGTCTTTTCCTGCCTATTTCGTTATTTTATTTTGCCTTTTTTATAAGTTTTTAGGTCCTAAATTCGGTACCCTGCAAATCAACATACATATGTATGTATGTAAATTAGGGTGGTTCAACGTTTTGTTTCCAGCTACTACTAGAAATGAAGTATATCGAAAATAAGGAGACTCGTAGTTTTTGTTTTGAAAACAGTTAGTATTTAACCGAAGCCTTTAAATTTGCATATATGTATGTACTTTACAGATGAAGGCAAAATTTTTTGGTAAAATTGCTATAACTGGAATCGTTAAAAAACAAATATTTTTTGATCGAATAAGAATATTTCTTTGTATCTTCAAAACACGCACGCTATAAAAAATAGGTAGTCAAATTTTAAAGTTAAATATGCATCATTTGTTTTTTCGAAATACGGGTCTCCTCATTTTCCATATTCTTCCGCAGCATTTTTGGACCACACTAATGCCAACAGATATGTAATTTTACGCGTACCTGTGCGGTGCATTGAGCAGTCAGGCGTGTATTGATCAACGCATGCAAATAGCAGGGGTAACGGGTTAATGGTCGCCAATCGACAGTGATGACATTGAAATCACGTGACAAATAAGCTGGAAATAAACAAAAATTAGTAATACATATAAGAATGATTATTAAAAAGGGCTTAAAGTACATACATACATACACACATATGTATGCCATTCATTCTGTTCCACGATTGAGAGAATACAAAGGTTGCGCCGATCTCGGACCGCTATTCCCCTCTTAACGAATTTGACAGAATCGTTGTTTGCATGACGTCACACTGGTGCAACTTGTTTACGTTTTCCTTGCAACATTTTTTCTTCTTCTTCCATTCTTGCTCACGTTTTGGCATTTCTCTCTCGCAATTGCACCAGTGTGACGTCACACAAAAGTTATTCTCAAAAATCATCTCTGATCGGCGCAATCTTGTATTCTATCATTCTTGATTCTGTTCTGATTTTAACTATATATTTTTCACCATAGCTCACCATCTCTCAAAAATTGTAAATGCATATCGACAGCGGTGCCATTGAAGCCATGCACGATGAATGCCGTTTCGCGATGGCGACTGAAGCCACCCTTGAATAGCGACAGCGGATTGTGTATGTTCAGTGCAACACCGTGACGTGATGACTTCCTGTAAAGTCGAAAGGCGAAAACCAAAGCAAAGAAAAAGCCGATAAAATAATAAATAATAAACGAAAGTAGTTAAATCAAATGGTCGCAGTCACTAGGCTTGATATGTATATATATTTATGTGTGTGTATGTATGTTTACATATTGATATGTACCTGCAAACATATTTATATAAATTTTTAAAAACAAATAAATAAAAGTGAGAGCTCAATACTCCATTAGGAAGCCATTGAAAGGTATATAATTCGCTGGCAGCCGGCATGTAGTGCAGTAATGGGCGTCCACGTCGGATAATCGAAGCAAAACAAATTCGCGGTTACGTACGCATGTGTATGTATGTATGTACGTGTGCATGTCTAATGCAAATATGCACCCAGTGGGAAAATGAAAAACAGCCGCTTCCACATTTGAAAATGCATTTTTTTCCACTAGGCGATGTCATAAAAAAAGTAACGAGGGATGTATGTGATTTCGTAAGCATTTTTTGGCACTTTTTGGATATATTAGAATGCTGATTACATATTTTTACATATTAATCAGTAATATAACCTAAAACTCATAAGATATGCATTACATAATTTTTCACGCTTGTAATGCATTATCTACTACTGTTCCCAGAGGGCATGTTTGTTTGTATGTATGTATGTATGTATGTGCTATATGAAATTGAATTAAATTTGAATTGCAGGTGGTGTGCGAAATCTGCGCTAATAACGGTGAGCATGCAGCCATCAGCAAAAATTCAACTTGCCGTAACTAAACTGGTAGATGAGTGCAACAGCAACAGCAACAACAACAACATCGTAAATATGAGTGCACTCTTGTAAAACAAATTCATGAACAACTAAGCGAGCGAGCAATAAAACACACCGATAACTGCCGATTAGCAAAGCAGAAATATTAATACAAATAAAGCATTAATGGTAACTGTAAATATTACAGCAATGACATTGACTTTGACGCATTGAGTATTACAAATGTACGATTTGTTACGTACACCGGTTTGGTTAAGCATCAATGCTTTACAACAAGCGCCAGTTACTGCCGAAATTCGGTCGCTTTACTGTTTTTTAAGAGTCTCGAAGATTTTTTTCCTCGGTTTAGTCGTTATCGTCTTCGTATTCACCTTGGTGTTTCTTTAAGTCACTGAAAGACTCAATCAGGTTGCTTGTTAACACACATTTTCCGGGAAATTCTGAAAAAGTGTTCATCCAGCTTCCAAGAAGGTACGCTGGAGCTCAGCATATCTTCTTCTTCTTCTTTATTGGCGCTGTAACCGCCTAAGCGATTTTGGCCGAGTCCAGTCATTTCTCTTCCGTGCTAACTGCGGCCAATTGGAAATGCCAAGTGAAGCCAAGTCCTTCTCCATCTGGTCTTTCCAAAACAGAAGAGGCCTTGCTCTTACTCTGTTACCAGCATCGCGGCCCGCGTTGAATACTTTTAGAGCAGGAGCGTTTCTGTCCATTCGAATGACATGGCCAAGCCAGTGGAGCCGCTGAATTTTAATTTGCTGCCTTATGTCTACATATATCGTTGTAAAGCTCATACAGCTCATCGTTAAATCGTCTGCGATATTCACCATCGCCAACGCGTAAAGGTCCGCAAATCTTTCGCAGAATATTTCTCTCGAAAACTCCAAGAGCCGCTTCATCAGATGTTTTCATTGTCCATGCCTCCGCGTCATACCCCAACACAGGCATGATGAGTGACTTATAGAGTGTGATCTTTGTACGACGATAGAGGACTCAGTCCAAAGAAGCATTTGTTGGCAAGAGTGATTATGCGTTGGATTTCTATGCTGGCATTATTATCGGTGTTAACGCTGGTTCCCAAATAAATGAAGTCATCTACTTTTTCAAACTTGTAACTGTCAACAGTGACGTGGGCGCCAAGATGCGTATGCTCTGACTGCTTGTGTGATGACGTCGTTCACCACCAGACCCATTCGCTTTGCTTCTCTATCCAATCTTGAGAAGGCAGAACAGACGTAGCCCTTGTTTTTACCGATAATATTGATGTCGTCGGCATACGTCAGAGTCAATTCTCACAAAGCCTTCAATATCATGAGCCTTGAAGTCCTTCTCGCCTTACAAAAGCCCGCGGCCAGACGGTATCATCCCTATCTTGTTGCAAACTGTGGATGATGCTATCATGCCATTGCTTTTGTCTATTTTCATTGGATGCATAGCCGAGTGAAAGTGGTTTTCATCCCAAAACCTGGTGGGCGAGGGCACGTCTTCGCCAACGTTTTTTTTTTTGTTAATTAGCTTAACTTCCATTGTTCTCAAAATTTCGAGAGGGTTCTAGACGCGGACGTCCGGGATTCTCCACGGCGATGGCATGCCTGAGGCATGAAGTCATTGGAACAGCACTACTCAAGCTCAACCAGGGGGGAGTAAAAGTAGTGGCCTACGCTGACAATGTAGTGGTTTTTGTAACCGGGTTATTCCCATCTGTGGTGAGTAATATCATTGATGGAATTTTAGCAGAGCTAAATATGCTGATGAGCCGGGCAATCTAGCCTTAGAGTGAACCCAGAGAAGCTGTATAATTTCTCGATTGCTACCTAAGATGAGACTGGCTGCCGATTACATATGACCTGAAACAGAGTTTCACAAGCCTTACGGGGTCATTTTTCCGTCAAGAGCCGAGGAACTTGAGGCCGCAGTCGAGTTGGCCAGTGAGGGTTCCACATTGGTGTCGATCGAGGGCCGGATCTCACGCCTAACAGGAACTTTATATAGAGACATCTTTCTCCACAATATTCAGAAATCGGATCAAAAGGGGCGCTCGGCGGGTGCCGTATATCCAAACTCATGTGGAACAATCTTAGGAGCACACATAACTTATTGAGAAGACCCAGATCTGACGTTGCAAGGCTTGTAGCGACTTTTATTTGGCATTGGCCGGTTGGACAACGACTTCTGTACAAGCTGCAGAGATGAGAACGGGCAGGAAACAGTAAAGCACGTTCTTTGCAAATGTCCAGCTGTCCTGAGGATCGGAAATACCATGCTAGGAGCATATGAGATCACATCGTTGCGAGAGCTCTCTGATAAGTCCCCCCACAACATATTCTACTTTATCAACCACACCCTGGCGCGCCGGTTGGTTTTGACATATTCATTCGAGGTATATGATATCAAAATGGCACTTAGCTTCCACTTGGGCGTAATAGTTCTTCCGCCACCATTCTAACCTAACCTAGCCAACCGTAAGTACCTTTCGCACACATATTGACAAGTTTTGACCATTTATTCTAATATATTTTATTCTTTAACAAAAATCGTATAAAGCCAAGTTTTAAACTTTTGTGCCATATTTAAAACAAATCAACAAACTTTCGAGATTTTCAATTATATTCCTTACATAAAGTGCAATTGTGAAGTGGGCAGGACTTACAGCTGATTTTTGGTATTTGTTTTTTTGAAGATGTCAATCATTTTATTCCATACGAAATATGTTGGACGATGTTTTTATATCGGGAAAATGTGGAACACCTTCAACAAAAAAAAAAAAATTGCTAAAAATAATAAAAAGTCAAAACTTTTTGATATGCGATAGGCATTATAGTTATGATTAGCATTATAGTATATATGGCTGCTTAAAAATTAGTTCCGCAAGATGCAAAACATGCAGACGCTAAAAAATGCATAGTACACGCACCTAAGTATGCACATACATACATGCATATATGAACATAAATAATAACAAGATTAAGCACTCGCTTACTTTATGGTAAGCAATTTTACCACCAACTCAAAAATTACTGGTGTTAGGACGATAAAATCGCAGCCATTTATACCTACTTGCAATTATGACTTCATTACTCATAATAACTAATAAAAAATATCCATTAAAAAGTTGAAAAAAAAAAAAATGACTAGCGACACTACACAATTCACCCTCTTCCGACACCAAATTGACAATGCAGTTGTTATACAGTTACGGCGCTATGCGTTCGCGGGTTTTATAGTCTGAATTTTGGCGCGCACTGGCACGCGACTACATAACCTATAATTATGAATGAAAATGAAATTGAAATTGGGAGAGCGAATGGTTGGACGTAAATACTCAAAAGGCATGCTGTATATATGTATGTATTTATGTGTTGTAATTGAAATTAATAACGGTGGCGCTAAGATATGTACATATATAAATACGAGTAAGTGATTAGATAATAGTAACAGTCCGCTTAGCCAAAGGCAACAAAATAAAAGTAAGAGTGCAAAAATAAAAAATAAAAACAAATAATACACATTTTCCCTAGAGTTCGCGCTGAATTGTTCAAAAACAAAAAAAAAAGAAGCTTGAACCGATTTTCAATGTCTGAATATGCGTATAGTTATGTACGTATGTATGTATGTTTACAGATATGACACACTTATTTAAAATCACATAGCAAATCTATTAATTAGCCATTTCAAAGTGATTTTGTTTTCTCAATTTAGTGACGCCCAGAAAGTTGAGAGTTCAAATGCCTTTTACTTTTTAATTCACTTCATCTAAACTTGAAGTGTTAATGAGTTCGTATTAAATAGAAGAGAAAAAGAAGAAAATTTTTTGGTAAGCAGCGCAGTCCGCAGTTGCGTGATTGCAATTTTCAGCTAATTTTCGAATTGGAGAGCTAATAAAGCCATTCGTTAATGCAAAAAAAGCGCACCGGTTAATTATCTGTACTTTCACTTGAGCCCCCTTTCTTGGTGTAAACACTTATGTAACTTATGGAATGTAAGTTAAAAAATACTTATATAACCCTTCGCATCATGCACCATGCGGTTTTTATAGGTTAGGCTAGAATGGTGTCGAAAAAACTTTTACGTCCAAATAGCAATTAAGTGTCATTTGAGTGCCATATACCTCGACTGAATATGTTAGAACCAACAGCTGTGGTTGGTAAAGTTGAGTATTTTGTAGAGACTCATATCAGATAGTTCTCGTAACGTTGTGAACTCATATGTTCCTAATACAGAATTTCAGGGGGTGGGATCCGATCCTCGA